CAGTGGTGATCTTACAGAAATTGAATTCCAACAGGGGCACACATGCATCTGGATTTTGTGGCTGTTGTCTGGAAGGTCTGTGCAATAACAGCAGTCAGGAAAGCAAAACTCTCATTCCAGAGCCACAGCAAGGGGAAAAGTCATTGAGGAAAGTTCCTGATCTCTCAGGGACTCAATTGCATCATCTATAAATCAAGCATTTTTGTAAGCATAATTCACAGAAATCAGAATGATGAGTCTCATGACATCTCTTCAGTCCTTGATAGGGTTTGTTCACAAAAATGTGGGAACAAATCACAGCAAGCATCATCACCGACAACCAAAACTTCTTTCCTAAAGATGACTTGACTCAACTGGTCAACACAGTTGCTGTGACATCTCATCAGTGTCCTAGCTATTGCAAAACTGACTGCTGCTTGGCTTGGTAAAGAGATATCTAGGTTGATTTCGTTAGCTGTTAAGTCAGCTCTAGAACTGATTCACTGGGGCATTATAGCCTACTAGTCAAAATCACTGTCATATACCGTGATTAATGCCGTAATGAGGTGGAAATAAGTATATAAAAACTACTTGAAAGCATACCAACAAGCACAAAGTAAGTGCTCGGTAAAGTTAGCAATCATTTTTTGACACCCAACTGTTCCTAAAAAGTCTTTGAAAAAGCGGCAAAACTCTGAAGAACTCCAGAAATTCATTTCAACTAAGTTGATTTGGACCCAGAAAATCTAGGCAAAACCAAGTCTCAGACCTATGATATTGATTTGTTTGGATATTTAAACAAAATTTTTGCTTCCCAAATATCCACTCATGGTGTCAATGTAGGCATATAATTCATGTAATTGAATTTGAAATGTGATTCTTACATGGACAATGTATTTTCATAAAAAATAAATAATTGATGTGTATTGATAAATTGATGACATAAATAAACAATAATGGCTGCTTTCATGGACTATAGAACTTTAAAATTTGCAAAGCACAAGTCCAGAGCTGAAGTAGGACTTTTTTGGATCATAATTACAGCATTGTTTGTAACGGCAGAATGCAGAAAACTATAGAAAATCTCATTAATAAAAATGTGTCAAATAATTGTGGACACAAGCATATGATAGAATTTTAAGCAACTATTCTTCAGTGAGTTATAACCATGTTTGCTGATATAAAACAATCTCAAGAGAAATTATTAAGGGGGTCAGAACACCTCTTATGATCCTGTATCCAAATAACCCTGCTTATGTCAATAACAAGAACATACATTTGTGTTAGTTCAAGGTTGAGGGAACTTTTTGTTTGCATTTTGAGACTTAACTAAAAATATATTGCTGATACTAGTTTTTAGGCAGTGAAATTGAGTCAGGAAATAATGAAGAAAACGTACTTTATATATTTCCAATGTGTTTGAATGCCGCCATCTGAATGCAAGACATTTTGTTTTGAGATGTATTTTTTAAATAGAAAATCAAAGCATGGTTGTCCTGCAGACACTGATTAGGCATATTACCCTGGCTTGCATTTCTTGTTCTCATTTCTAGTTCTCTTTCTTGCTTCTTGGTTTGTGACCTTTAGATTGCTAGGCTGGTTACATCACACTTTCTCAATTGCCTTTATTCTGCTCAAGTATTCCTCTCTTGGCCTCTCCTGTTGACCCCTGGTACTCTGCCTTGGCTGCCAGTCACAGTCTTCTCCTCTGAGTTCTTACTAAATTCCTGGCAGTTTAGGAGTGGTGAGGAAGGGCAGGCACTGATGCAGGTTGAGACATCTTTATCCTTTATATGGGCTATTTTTTTTTCACCCTTTAAGACTTCAATCTGAGTATAACTTCTATAGAAAGCCTGTCCTAAACTTTCCAGGCCTGAATTTGTCTCAATGCAAATCTTATTTTAAGTCTATATTGACCAAAGTTAATATAATTTTTTGATTACCTACATCATGGGCTTGCAAGATGATCTGTAAATGGGTAGCTTGTCTTTTTTGATAAATAAATTCTACCACCAAATGTCATCAACTTCATATAACTTTGGTCAATATGAATAATTTTATTATCATTTTAGTTAATTATACATGAGACTAACATAAGATAGCAAGTATATCTATGGTTGTAGAAGCTTCTAGTACAGAGTCATGTCTTCAGTGAATGCAAAATAATCATCAATGGAACTGGTTTTAAATTAATTAAAAATGAAACTTAAAAGTATAACCTAAAAGAAATATATGAATCTTTAGCCTTTAGTGGTAGTCAGGGATTCAACACCATGGCAAACATGACAAGCCACCCATTTACTGATGGTCTTCCAAACTCCTGATGTAGGTGATCAACTATATACAGACTCCAAATCAAGTTCTTTTGAAGTTCCAGAAAGTTCAGTGAACATACATATACACACAGTCACTTGTGTGAAATTTTTTGTACAGAAATTGGTGTAATATATTCTATGGCAGATTAACAACAGAACAGACAAGATAGGGGCCCTCTGGAAAACAAATTTAGAGAGATACATCCCTTTGGCACCATGATTTATTATTATTGGCATATAATAATAAACATTATCCTTTGACAGGAGGTTGCCAACTTCAGACTTCCTGTAACCAAGGCATCTAAAAAGTCAGTGTCTGGCCTTAATGGTACTGAAGATAAGCTCAAAGTATATACGGGGCAAAGAAATGTAGTACACCGTGAGTATAGGGTAAGAATTTATTAATATTCTAGAAAGAACAATAGTACAATAATGATTTCTATGAATGTGTGTATGTCTGTGTGTGTGTGTGTGTGTGTGTGTGTGTGTACTTCAAGTGTCTGTAGATGATGAGTGTGTGCACTATGGTCAAAAAAAAAAAAAAAAAAAAAAAACAAGGTAAATTAAGATCCCAGCTTATTTCTGTCCTGGTAGCCATAAATATAGGCAAGTCACGAAGTCCTACCAGTAAGTAGGGATAAATATGCCTATTTGCCTTATTAACAAGGCTCATGTGAAACAATACGATTGACAGAAGAATCTTAGTATTGCAACCAGGAGTACTGTGGGCAGCCTTGTGAGAACACAAATTCCTCATGAAGACTCAGCTACCCAGAATACCTCCTCATAATGCAATAAGCCCTCCTTATAATGCAATAAGCCCACTTCCAGAACTTTCCTCTTATGCAACTAATAGAAGTTTGCATTTATAAGAAGCTACACAGCTATCAGTCTGGGCATCCATTAGCTCCCCCTTGTTCAGGTTACCTGTGTCTGTGGGTTTCTGTAGCCTGGTCTTGTCCCCATTTTCTTATCACTCCTCCCTCTCTGCATTTGGATTCCAGTTTGGCTCAGTGTTTAGCTGTGGGTGTCTGCTTCTGTTTCTATCAGCTACTAGATGAGGACATATGACCAGGATGTATCCCTGGTGCACAAAAGGACTTTGGGAGCACATTCTCCATGGAGGGATACTCCCTTAACCTAGAGGCAGGAGGGAGGGCCTAGTCCCTACTCCAAATGACTTGATGGATTTTGTTGACCTTTCCTGGAAGGCACCACACTCACGTGGAGTGGGGTGGATGGGATGGAAGGGGGGTTGGGGAGCATGGGAGGGAGGGGGAACTGGGATTGATATGTAAAATAAGAAAAAAATAAAAACAGGAAAAAAAGAAGCTACACACACACACACACACACAAAATCCTTTTTAATTATACAGCTCAAACTCAGAATACAGAAGGAAGAAAATCAGACTCAATATAAAATTATTTGAAAAAAATACATAATTTATTAAGACATACAGCCAACAAACCTTAATGGTGGCAAATATCAACACCTACACTACATCTGTTGTCAGACAGGTATCAATATCTTCATTTATGATGTCAAATAAAGTTATTAGTGCAAATACTTTCTTGTACTGTCTAGAATATGCTGTCAGAGAAGTGAAACAGTTCCATTTGAACAAAAGTGGGGAAGGAGCCATCACACACATATCACAAGTATTAGTTCATAAATATGAAGTGAGCTAGCTGAATATTAAGTGTATCAAGCACCATGCCTCTGGGAGAAGGAGGATGAAAGAGTCACTATTTTTTTACATTTGCTTTCAACCTAAAATCCAGCAGCCACCATCACAGCCAAAATACAAAAATTTGAATTCTAGGTTTGATGCTTCCCAGTCTCAATACTTAACAAACAAAAGGGTATAAAAGGATTTTTTGAAGTTTCATAGAGGATATAGACTCTAACCCTATACAAGTTATACTTCAACAAACAAAAAACAAACAAACAACAACAACAAAAAACAAACAAACAAAAAACCCAAGTTTGACTTCAATTATGCTGTGTCACAACCTATTATAAACTTTGTAACTATACTTAAGTCATGGGCATACTTTTCTTTATTCCTATACTTCAAGGTTAAAGATATGTTACACTCTACAGGTTCTTGGTATAGTGTTCCTTATTTATGAGTTATGAATCATAAATATATTTGCCTCCATTATAAAATTGTAATGATTAACACATGTCCTAATTAAAATTTCTTTTCTTTTAATATATAATATTTAAGAAAAATAGAGAAGGATCATCTTTTATATCCCTAGAGCCAACTCAGCTTATGCTAACTTAACCTTCTTGGGTATGCATTTAGCAATTCTTGAAAATCCCTTGAAAACTGATTTCTCTATGAAAACACCATGAAAAAAAATTCTCTTCAAATGGAAAACAATCAGAACAATTCTCATGTTATTTTATATAGGAGCTTGTGTGTTTCACACTAAAAAATAGGTGTAATATGGACAGAAGAAAGAAATAAGTATCACACACTTCCACATTCTGTAGAGGTACTCATGAAAACATATCTGTATTAGATTTTGCCCAACACATTAAAAAACTCCTAAGTGTTCTAATATCAATTATTAGGGACTCTATAGCACTGTAGTATCATAACTTACAAAGCAAAAGATACATGAGCAGACACACACACACACACACGAAATGACACGAGCTCATCCTTAACAAATCAAGAAGAAAGATCTACTTACCTGGTAACTGCGCGGGTGCAGATGGTAACAAGGAAGCAGCCAGCCACTATCATCCAGCCCCAGCCCCCATCTGGAGGGGATGCTGACCTAACTCTTGTTACCTTCGCCATGGTTCAATTCTGGTTTTCTTCTCTTTACAAGTTACTTCAGTAGTACAATATAATCTTGAAAGTTTGCTACCCCGTAACTTCCTGTTGATATTCAAAGTTGGTACAGGATGCTACCTGGCACAGGGGTTATTGGCCATCTAAAGTGAAAACAAGGACATACTTTTATTCCATTGCCATGTCCAAAGATGCTTTTTCACTTGATAAGTAATTACCACTCTCCTATTAATATGATTATTTATAACTATGAATACTGAGACATGGTAAAGACCACTAGCTGTCCTTTTAAAAAAATTCTTTAAATGTAAAAATGCTTTTTCACAATCCTTGAGAAGTTACCATTCCTTCAGAAAATTCTTTATGAGCAAAACCCTAGGAAAATTGCAACAGCAGGTTATGTTAAACCAAAACACACATCTGATGCAATATAAACCTCAAAAAACATTAACACAGGCAATGTGAATAGAGCACCTTAATATTATTTCCGTGACACACCTCCAATTTAAATTCTATGATATATAGGAATACTAGCAAGATCTGATATATACTTACACATCAAAGTATTATATTTATTTCTGAGTTTACAAAATGACAGTACTACAGATGTATAGCAGTTCAAATGTTAAAAGAACCACATAAAATTTTCAAGTATAGCAAGAACCTTACTTTTTCTATCTAGACATTCCTGTATCATGAGAGCATAAACCATCAGTGCTGAAAAGTGGCGGGGGGGGCATCAAGGAGAGAGAATACAGTATGCTTGCTAAAGTGACAATCTTCAGCCAAGTCAAGGGATGAGGCTAGGAAGCATTTCACAGTCCTGGCCTTTTATAGGGATTCAGACACAGGGCAAAGAAGATTTATGTCACAGAAAGGGCTCTGAATATACAACTATATCAGTTCCATCTCCACTAAACACCTATTCTACAAGGCAAAGAGAACAATGCTGCATCCCAACATCTGACTTTATGCTACACCACAGGGCCACATGAATAGCCACTGGCACAAAAACAGACATGTATAGCAATGCAGTATTCAAAAGCACCCAATATTAAACCCACGCAGTTATAGCCACCTGATTTTCATGCAGATGTAGCAATGCACAAGGAAGGGCAGAGTCTCTTCAACAAGTGGTGCTGGGAAAACAGGGTAGCCATATTGAGAACTGTGAAACTGGATATCAACCAATCTAATTCAAATTAAATCAAAGACCTTACTGTAAGACTCCAAAATGACATTATTACCGGGAAACAGGGAAACAAGTTCAAGATAAAGACATAGCAAAGACTTTCTGCAAAGGTCTCCAATAACACAGAGTATAAAACCAGGAGTTGATAAATGGGGTTGCATAAAGTAAAAAAAAAAAAAAAAAAAAGCTTCCGTACAGCACAGGAAATAATCAAGTAAACAGTTCACAAAATGGAAAATGGTACAAAAATATTTGCTAGTTACACATAATATAGAGAATTAATAGTAACATTATATAACCCCCCCAAACACTCCAATCTAAACAATCGAATCATTAAATAGGATAATGGAGTAAACAAGTAGTTTTCAAAAGATGAAGGATTCAACATTTTTAATGCCATCACAAAAAATGCAATTTCAAACTTCATCAAGATTCTTGTCTTGCCCGTGTCAGAACAGCCACCACCAAGAAAACAAAAATTAATCTTGGTGATGATAGAGAAGGAAATTAAGCTGTATACATTGTTGTTGGGAATGTGAGTTAGTCTAGTCAGTCACTATGAGAATCAGTATGGAGAGTCCTCATAAAATAAAGCCAAAATGACTATACCATCCAGCTGTACCACTCGTGGGACCATGCCAAAGGAATGTAAGTCGACACACCATGGAGATACTAGCCCATGAACATTTATTGAACACTGTACACAATAGCCAAGAAATAGAACTAGCCCAGGTATCCATCAGGAGATGAATGGATACAGTAGCTGTGGTAGAAAGTACAAAGATTGCTTGTTTTCTCTCAAGGGATGCAGAAAAATCTATATACATTCCATGAAAGTGGGAGTGGGACCATCCAGAGCAGTGGCTCTCAGCTTTCCTTAATTATGACCCCCCAGCACAGTCCCTCATGTTGTGGTGACTCCCCAACCCTGAGCTTACTTTCAGTGCTTCTTCATAAATACAATTTTACTACTGTTATGAATTGTAATGTAAATAGCTGAGATCTTATATGCGACAGTTCAGACTGTAGTGGGTTCATGACCCACAGGATGAGAACCGCTTGCCTAGGGGAAGAAAGCAGCTAGCAGGAAGGAAGAGGGAGAAAAAAGATGTAGGTACATGATATATTTTGTCTTTATGAACCTTATCATTATGAACAATTAATACATTGTAATACAGTTTACTTTTTAAAACACCTGTTCATAAGGAACATTAACAAAATACAAAATTGTATAAATCCAAGGCTGGAGAGATATTTCAGTCATTAAAGGCAAAGTATCACAACCCAAACACCAAGGGCTTGGTTCTCAGCACTCACATCAAAGCCTCTCTTTCCCACTTCCCTCGCCTTCTTGCTGCGGCACAGTGGCACATGGCCTTAATGAAAGAAAATGACATCTTTTAAAAAAATAAACACAATTGTATAAATCTGAATAAATTTAAGCAATAATCCTCATGCCGTAGTGACACTGTGATAAACAGAGGTCTCCTGTGAGTCAAAGTTATCCTGGTTCACCATAGCTAGCACAAAGATGACTGCAGCACAAAGATGATCATAGCACAGGGTCAACCATAACACAGGAATGACCATAGTGCAAGGACAGCTATAGCACAAGGACTATCCTCGCCAGGACGAGGGAAGGCAAAGCAGCACTTCTGGGAGCATTCAACCCCAACACAGTCCTCCAAGAAAGCACAATCCTTGGAAAGGTTGCTACTCTCCCCCTTTCACAATGGTGGTGCTTTCCTTCGGAGGAGACTCCCCTGATGCTGCTGCATCTGGACACATATGGCAATGGGTATCTCAGGTGACTTTAGATGATACAGTTAGACACCAACTGTGGAGATTTCAAATCATTTCTGTCAAACAGATGTCCACACAGTGCTAAAACATGCAAAGGAAGAGAGGGGACCCTACAATGTTAGAATTATAGTTATTCTTGATCACAAAACAATGCATTCAAATTTCTCTCAAAGCAGGCCAGTTAATAGATCTGTCTTCCAGAAGAAACACACAGGTTCAACACAGTGAATCTAGCTTCCTGGAGACTTTGAAGTAGCCAACCATTCCTATCATATTAACTTGAGCGTTCTTATAAATGATTAACCCATCTGATATTTGCCAAAAAACAGCAAGGAAATCTTTTACTGACTCACCAGTATGTCTAAAACTGTAAACAAACAAAGCACTGCCATCATGCAACTCTTCATTTTACTAATAATCCTCTATTGCATTTTTACATCAACCACAAAAAAATAGTTGTATGTTTATGTGTGTGTGTGTATTATATCAGAAAGATTGTCTCAGTCACAAACTGTATTAAAATGTTCTTCTGAAACTATCCTTTTGAGTACAAATTGGTCCCAATTCACTTCCTCCTCTTGTTGCTTTAAAGAATTTAATCACTTGCAAAAAGGTTGCTAACACTCAGTAACTTTGCTATTAATCTCCACACTTTGGGAGGGGTGTATCTCTTTCCTGTTACCCTCTGCGGAGCTTTCTAAAGTGGCCTCCTTTATCTGTAGAAAACTGACAAATTCATGCACCAGCAGCTAGTTGAAAGGAAACTGGAACCTTGTTTTGGAAGCTCTGAACAGTCGCTTTCCACTGCTTTCCTTCCCCCATGTCTCCTGTTCCCAGTGTCTTTCCCATTAGCAGAATGTTTCCTCTATAAGCTGTGCAGCCATAACAGAGGTAAAGCCCTATGATGGAAAACTGTGGAGAGGGGGATCACAATGACTGTGTCCACGAGGCCCTATTCGGTGGTGTGCCCCTGTCTGAATCACTGCCTGTCTGATACCGTTCCCTAACTTAGAGGAACAGGACACTGAACTACTAAGACCTTGTCTCTAATTCAGGTAGCCAGTTGAGGCAAGTCAGCTTTTTGACTCTGTGACAAATGGCAAATGAGAAAAACAAGTTCAGTGAGGAAAAGTTGATGATGGTTCGTGGTTTTAGTTCATGGTTGGCTAGTTTCATTGCTTAAAAGGCAGAGCCTCCTGTGAGGCAGAACAGTATGGCAGGGAGGGGCAGTAGACCAAACTGGCTCATCTCATGTTGCTCAGGAAGGAAGAGAGGGAGGACAGAGAGAGGGAGAGGGAGAGAGAGAGATGCAGAGACACAGAGAACAGAGACAGACATACAAAGAAAGAGACAGAACATGATGCCCAGTGACATGCTTCCTCCTACTATTTTCTACCTACTAATAGCCCATTCAGCTATGAACACACAATGAATTAAACTATTGATAAAGTTAGCATGCTCATGAGCCAATCACCCCATAAGCACTACTGGCTGGGATCGAGCCCTAAACATATAAACCTCTTTGGAGGATACATCATATCCAAACCAGGACCCTAAACTAAGTGCATCCTTATTATATTGGTCTCCTAGTAGGGTGAACATTGCCTGTAAACTCCAATTTCTTTCATTCTTTGCATTTTAAAATATGGAATTTGTCATCCTGACTTTTTTGAGCATTTATAAAGTATTCTGGTTATTCAGATGATATTTCTGAAATAACTCATAATAAACCACCCCCTTTTCAAACCAGTTTCTCTCAGTGGTCCTTTTCTATCATTAGCACTAAGCCAGGAGCACTAATCTAGAAGGGAGATTAGTCCTTTCTAGAATAGTTATATCTATAGGAAAGAGCCATGGACCATGTTGTGGGGAAATTGCCACCACAGAGAAAGGCAAAGTAGCCACAGGGTGAGATTTTTTTTAAGAAAAAAGTGGCAAATTGCCCACATCTCTCTGAGTGCCACTGGGATGTGAAGAGGTGAAGAGAGAATTACATATTAACTCAGAGGGGAAGCTGTAACAAGAAGGTCATGTCTAACTGTGGGAACACATGGCTTTACTGGGTACTCTGCAGTGGGTTTAAAAAGAAAGAAACAAGGACAGTGTCTACATGTTGTCCCTCCAATCCACTTCATGACATAGATGGTC